AGTGACCTTGTCCTGACCTTGACGCCACTCAGGGTCAAACCAATATTATCTTATGTCCCCTTCGAAACCAAACAACTTTTGTTTGAAAAATTTTTCTCTCCCGGGCTTGATTTTCGAGATATTCGACTGGATGGATTAAAATGGTCCACCCTGTATATATATATACAGAATATATTACCTAATTTTTTATTCGATTCAAAATCAATCAGTTTAGTTACCTGAGGATAAAGAAATCTTTGATTGCCTTGTTGGACAACGTATTGCCTTTCACCTTGCCAATGTTGGAAATGTTGTAATCTTTCTGTATTTGGCCTTTGCCACGTGGTGCTTCTTGTATTATGATCAACATAATAAATTCTACCTCTCGGATCTCGCCGAACTTCCCATCCAGGAGGCAAAGGCTGTGGTCTCTCCCAAGACGTGCTTCGAGTATTGTGATCAACATAATACCTAAGCGCGCGCGCGAAAGAAAGAAAGAGATGATATAAGAGAGATAAGAGGTTCATAATATTTTTGTGATAATCAATAAACATATACATTACCTTCTTCCGTATAAATCGTATCTCATTTCCCAACCAGGCGGCAATGGTTCTTCGGAATGATTGATATCTTCGCTGAGCACTACGGAGGATCCTGGTTGCGTCACAGACTGCCCAGGCACGGATGCAGCAATAGATTGACTTGACAATGAAGATGCGCTCTGCGGAATACGCGGTACACTGGAACGGGAATCTGGTAGCGTGACAGGCGACATATGTTCCACAATAGGAATCGTTCGTCCATCGGAGAGAGGAATCACCGCTGATTGTTCCGTTCGAAACACTACAGCCCGATTATCCGTCAGTGGAGGATTCGCATTCTGCTGACCGCGTGAAACTCCGCATAGATCTAGAAGTGGCGCTGTACTTATCGATTGCTCCGCACGCGGAGTTCGTATCTCCTCTTGCTGGCGAACACTCGTGGATTGTTCTGACTGTTGTCTTATCGCTCGCAGATCCTCACCAACGCGAACGTTTGTGGACTGCTCAGGCAGTTGCCTCATTCCCCGTAGATCCTCGACCGCGCGAATATTCGTCGATTGTTCTGGTTGTTGTCTCATCACGCGCTGATCCTCGTTGGTCGTGTTTGTTCGTCGAATGTTTGCCGACTGATCTGGCTGTCTCGGACACAATAAATCGTCCGAATCCAAAGGTATATTATTCACCAGTAGCTCTAAACGTGCCATTACACGACCGTCTAGAGGCGCTGCGGCAATCGATTGCTCTATCCGCAGGACATTCGCATTGCCGCACATATCCACATGCGACGATGCATTCGCGTCTGTCTGAGAAGCACTGGAACCGTCCATATTAGGAAGCATAGATTGATCTTGCCGTGGAACTCCGCGGACATCTGCACAAATTTGTTGCCCGGGTATCATCAAGGGAGATTGCTCTGATCGTGACGGGCCACGTGAATCCGATTTAATCATTGCGGATTGATCCGCGTTGCTGTGATTGCTCCATGTGTACCCACGACCCTCTGATGAATTAGTTGACGCCGATGATAGCTCTTTAACGGTCGATTTACTCGCTAAAGTTTCGCACGTCTGTGGCGTGCCGATTCCCCGGTGACATCATAGATTTATCTGTCATGGGAATTGCGTGACCGTTCACCAGAATGCTTGTGGAGAGGCTGCTACTGCTGGCGCTATTACCAACGTTGCTACCCGACGTACCATCCGCACTCGAGATCGTAGTAGAGAGCCCAACGTTTTTGTTGCTGTTTGCTTGACTGTTTCCACCATTATAATTGGGACTAAAGTGGATATTTGTTAAGCCACGATATATAGACGGTGCAAGATTTTCCGAACTGTGTAATCTCATACGTGCACGGACTCCGCCGTTGAGAATACTTCGGTTATTGATTGTATCATTTGTGGCACCTAAAATGAGATATAATTTGATATAAATAGAAAAATAGATTGTAATATACAGTGATTATACATATATCTGTTTTAAACAAACTTCTGTTACAGATCTTAATCTTTACAGGACGAGAGAGCCACTATAGTGACTCTGAAACAATGTCATATTTTAAGCCATTTTAAGGCAAGGAATACAATAAATTATAAAACTTACTCTACTATAGCCGTAAGCCGTAAAAATTGACCAATCATAGTCGAATGCGAGAATAATCGACTTGTAATAGGTCAATTTTTATGACTTAATGAATCTTACTTAAAAGGAAAAGCTTAAGATAAATATTTTAAAAAATATACTCTCCTGTCGCTTTCTAAAAATTAATATATTTCTAAAATTTTTTGTATATCAACCATTGTAATACTTTTCTTACCATCAGATTGTATTTGGCAAGATGGTTCATTTATTGGCATTTCATTAGCGGTATCGATTCTAAGTCCATCAAATACCGTGATTAATTCGCCAACCTTGCACAATTGAGAATCGTGCTTGCTCTCATTCATTAAGTCAAATGTTAATTCTAAATTTTCTAGTTTCCCATTATAATGTGATAACACTTGGAATAGGTTTATCCGTTTTTCTCCTATTAACGTATCTTTGCGAAATGTACTATGGTCAAGTAATCGAAAGTGCAATTGTGAATATGGTGTAACAAGTATAGTAAATTCCTCGTTCCATTTCGGTTGATACGTAGACTTTGATACTTCTGTTTTACGAGGGCTCTTATCATCGACTGAGAATTCGATATACGGATTAGGCTTTAAAAAGGTTGAACTTCTCAATATTGCTGCTTCAACTAAAATAATCAAATATCAAATTATTAAATATAAGATAAAACAATCCTGCAACATAGTTGCATTATATCTATTAATTGATAATTGCATTACATATATTGACAATTTATCAAAATAATTTTTAAATAACTTCTTAAAAAATACAATAGTGAATATTTAATAAAAAAATACGTCGTATTTTTTGTAAAAATGTGAATAATACAAAATAAATAATTTCACATTTATTATATATATATTTTTTAAGTAAATATATTCATGTAGTAAAAACAATCTAATAAAACATTATCAAACAAAACATTAATAAAAGAAAATAGATTATTGATTATTCCATTTGATTATTTCTATATTGGTATTATTTTTATGATACTATTATTTCTACAACATGGCATATTTTGACTTACAGTTACCAACCTGATAATTAATATCAATTTCATAAAAACATAAGTTAAGCAGAGATAAGAAGACATTTGATTAAAGATAATGAATGATAAGAATAGAATTTAAAAAACAAGAAAAAGCAATAACAGTAACTTATAGTACCTACTTAATAGTAATTTTATCTGTTTTTCTTTTTTTATCATTCTTTCAGAAATATTTCAGTACAATTATATTTCTTTCAATACAACAGAACATTTAGAGTAAATAAATGTTAACGATGTACATTTTGAGAACATCTTATTGCGTCTGGAATCCCATACAACTTACTTGTAATGCTCAATTGGTGGAAACCAGGAGACGCCGCATCCTCCTCGCAATGAGACATTGTAAAAAATTTATTGCAATTCACGGTGACTACTTTAAAGAATTCATAATTCTTTCACTGAATTGCTCCTTTGCAATATCTGTGATGTGCACAAGCGGATTCTAGAAGTATAGTTTATAGGTTAACTTCTTGGAGTTACACATATCAATGATATAAAACACACTATATTTGTATAATAACATCTATTAACAATAATTAGCTTGAGTATGAATCTCGTGTATACTAGTCGCATAAAAAATGAGTCATTTGAAAAAAATTTAAGTAGTATTTTCGGTGTTATTTTGAAGAACAATGAAATCAGTAGTATAATTACATATAAATACATTCAATCTTATCTTGACGAAAAGTCCAGTAAAGGTGAGTATGTATATAAAAACGAAGAATACTTTAGCAAAAGTATTAAAACGCAGAAAAGTGGAATTTTTCAGTCGCTGCAATCGGCGCGTATAATGACCTTACCACAGAATTTTACCTACGACCAATTTTTTTCCGACTGAAATTATTTACACGCGAGACACGTACGAGCGGAGACTGTTGCGAAGATTCGCCTTTCTACAATCCTACGGCTTATCAATGTGCTGTCATTCGACGAGCTCCGAGCTCGTTGTGCGCGACACCGTATGATTCGAAGGAACGAATTTGGCTGGCAATATTGGCGAATACGAACCGAAATTAACAGCCTCCAACCGCTCACGACATCCCCAGCGATCTGTCGTCCATTCCTCGCACGACCAACGATCTTATCGCGGCGAGGACAAGTGGAAATATTCGGGAATTTGCGTTATCAAACTTCGCTATCGGTCGGTCACCATCTTTCTATACGTCAAACGTAGTCTCTTTATGTATCATGCGAGAGCGTGACAACGACTGCGAGTGGCCTTCATAATTGAAAATTGCTGCTGAACGATTCGATGGATTCTCATATGAAATTACGTGCAAACTATATTTTCACTAAATGCAACACTCTGTATAATGCACTTATGTATATTGAAATCATGCGAGAAGTCGTATTTTGTTCATGTTTCAAAGGTTTTTACCCCGCACCGATAAGGATGGAGTGTTCAATGTTCTCTCCGGAATAGTTACTTACTGATTGGCTTTACCGAGTTCTATCTTTATCTACATCAATCGTTATGAGGCTATAGACGTGATAGACGGCGTGTTTGGATCGAACATTTATATACGTAACTTGAAAAGAGAAAAGAAACTTTGACCAGTGTTATTTTCTCTTTCTAATATTCACGAGAAAGCGTTCCGTTTGGTTCCGTTCTGCATACCCGGTCTATTGCTAGGGACTTTCCTTTTTCGCCATCGATGGCCACAGCAGAGAGGATTTTGAGTGCGGACAGCGGACCGGTATGAAGCCAGCTGTCGAACTAACGATTTCAATAATTTCGAATACGTCATTCGATTGCTAGTCATTTGCTAATTTTTGCATCTATTTTTATTTTGTTTGCATATTAATTATTTTGGGTAAAAAATCGAAAATAAAATTTGGACAAGTGTAACGGGTGTAACCGCCATTTGAAACTTTTATCTCATAATTTTA